GGTTTTTGGGATTCGGGTTTGGGGTTTAGGGGTTTTGGGGTTTAGGGTTTGAGGGATTCGGGTTTGGGGTTTGGGGGTTTTGGGGTTTAGGGTTTTTGGGATTCGGGTTTGGGGTTTAGGGGTTTTGGGGTTTGAGTTTGGAGTTTTGGGGGGGTTCGAGTTTAGGGCTTTGGGGTTTCGGAGCACATTGGTAAAAGCACACTCTCGGCCCTTTACGCTACTTCCACATAATGTCCCTTGTAGTGTCCCCTTATAGATACCCAGAAGAGCCCTTAACAGGAACTCTCAAAAAGGGGCGAGGGTCTAAGCCCTACAGTTGATGTTGGGTGAAGCGGCTGTTCTCGAAACCATTGAGAGTCTTCGCAGTTGTGCTTTCAGGGCTCAGAGTTTAGGGTATTTCGGGTTTGGGATCTAGGGTCTTTGCGGTCACATTTTCGGAATCAAGTCTTAGGGCTCAGTGTTTAACTGATTTAGAGTGCAGGGTTTATGGTTTAGGGCTTAAGGGGGTGTTGAGGTCCCCAAACCAGGCTTAAACGGAGCCTAAAACCCTGCGCCCTAAATCCTAAGCACTAAACCTCAAAGCCCCTAATCTACCCTCTGAGGTTTTGGCATCCCTAAACCCTAAACCCTAAACCCTAAACCCTTACCCTTGAAGGCCTGAGATGTCAACTGCAAGCCTCCGACCCGCACCCTTTCAGGCGATCCTCCTCCATCCCATCTTCCGCAAGGCGGGGACGTGGCTTCAAGCCCTTGAAGGGCTTCAAGGGCTTCGAAGGGGGGGGAAGGGCGCGGGAGGGGGGGTGGTAGATGTAGGGTTTAGGAGTGCTACTGCTGCGAATACAGCCAGATCAACCACAGCTACTGCTACTGCCACTTCCTGCCTCTTGCTGCTGCAGGTGCTTCCGCTGCTTCTGCTGCGACCAGCACCACCACCACCAGCACCACCAGAACCACCAGCACCACCAGCACCACCAGCACCACCAGCACCACCAGCACCACCAGCACCACCAGCACCACCAGCACCACCAGCACCACCAGCATCTGCACTATCTGCAGAACCATCACACTCACCATCACTGTCCTCATCATCACCATCATCACCATCATCTCCATAATCTCCATCATCGTCTTGTTTTTGCATAGGTCACCCTCATCGCCCTGGTCAGCCCACAACCTCCATCACTGCATCACCCTCATCACCCTCATCACCCTCATCATCTTCATCACCCCCTTCACCCGTAGCATCCTCATCACCACTGTCATCATCATCGCCACCACCACCACCACCACCATCACCACCACCGACATCATCATCGTCATCATGACCGTCGTCATCACCATCATCACCATCATCAGCATGATCATAATCATGGTCATCCTTATGATCATCTTCGTCATCATCATCAACAACATCATCACGTCCACCGCCATAATCGGCTGTCACAACTGCTGGGTGGTGGAAGTCTTGTGGCTTGGGCCCTTGTGTGGCTGTGTTGGTGGACCCGTTGCCGTGTACGTGCCTACTTGGGGTGCCCGGTCAGGGACCTCGAATTGTGGTTGGAGGGTTGTCCATGATGTTTCCGGAGGCTTCCGGAGAAGGGGTAGTATAATCAATAGAATATCATTTCATAAAATAGAAAACCATGCAATATACAGTCAAGTAGTATGGTTTAATGTAATGTAACATATAATACAGTTTTGTTTAATATCGGACGAAATAATACAATACAGTATAATCTGATACAATATAATACATTATACTGCAATACAATACAAGATACTGCAATATACTACAATATAATGCAATATAGTACAATATAATACAATATAGTACAATATCACACAATATAGTATAATACGGTATAATACAATATAACATATTATGATATGATATTTTATAATATCATATACTATACTATAACATAGTATAGTACACACTACTAAACTATGGTAAAATTATACTAGAAGCTTTTAATATGGTATCAATATAAAACTAACATGATATATTATCATATAATACAATATAATACTGTATCATATTAAAGCCATAGCATAATGTAAAAGAACAGAACAAGCAAATGACAACACACACAACATGACATAGTTTAAGATAATACAAGATCCATCCAGCCATTCATCCATCCATCCAGCAAACCAGAATCTGTGATCATGCCCGTCTGTATGAGTTAATCCTCGCAAAGAGATATGGGGAGTTCTCTAAATTGGGGTCCCTTCTAGGATCCTTTTTATAAGCTATATTGGGGACCTAAGAGGGACCTAATTTAGAGAACTACCCATATGATGACGAGCCGGCTTGGGAGCGGTGCTAGTACTGCACCTTGCAGCCCCAACCCTAAACCCTAAACCCCAACCCCCCTTAGAAAGGCACCCTCAGAACCCTAAACCCTAAACCCTAAACCCTAAACCCCTGAACCCTAAACCCCTAAACCCTAAACCCTAAACCCTAAGTCAACTTGCCGCCATTTAGGTGGTCGGGCTCTGGAAGCTTTGGTGCGGTGCAGGAGTCGGCCCTGCCTCGCTTCAAGGGCTTATATAGGGGTTTAGGGGTTAGGTTTAGGGGTTTAGGGTTTAGGGTTTAGGGTTTAGGGGCCGAGCCATCAAGCTTCAACCCTTACCGTAAACCCAGCACCAAAGACCTTCAATTCTCGTGCGACTTAAGCATGGCAAACCATGT